ATCTTTCAGATTCAGTAATTATCAAGGCTTTGCTAAATTTCATCTATTCCATTTTGTTTTTTCTTGCTGTTGTGTTTTAAAGTAAATTTCAAACATCCGTCATTTCAATCCTACATACTTCAGTATGCATCTCCAAAATATGGCCATTTTCTTGTTATCACAATGCCAACATGATTCCAGCAAAGTAGTATTGTGTCTCAGAAGACGTCACCTATAAGTCTTTTGTAAGATGTCACTGTTTGCCACTTTTGGTTAATTGTGCATGATAGAGAAAGTATCCAGAAAAAGCATAATGAAAGAATCTGGTTGTGTTCAGGGAGTTGATTCTGATAACTTTACCCTCAGGTAGGTTATCTACTGAAACTAATTTGATCACAGTTGCAACTGAGCTGTAGAATACTTTCTAGTTTGAATTTAGATTTGAAATTCGGTTGCAGGGGAGGGTATAGCTCAGTGGTAGTGTGCTTAGCATGCACAGGTCCTGGGTTCAGTCTATGGTACATACGTACATACATGCATACATAAATACATAAATAAATCTAATTACCTCCTCCCCCAAACACCCCCCCCCAATAAAAAAATCATTCAGAAGGAGCCATCTCTGTGACACACACTGTGTGATAGCACATTGTACTTCTAGCATAGTCTGGTGTGGTCATTCAAAAAATACATAGTCAGAAGGTATGATGGTGATGGTGTTTGATACTCAAGGCCCAAAAAGAACAGACTGTGGTTGAATTCTTATAGTTCTTGCCATGCTTTAATTCTTCTCACTCTTCCCTGCTTCAGCTATTTAACCACGGAAATGGAATTAATTTTCACTGCTGAAACTGCCAACAGTCCAGCCTTCTCCATCCAATACATGTGCACATGTAGATGCATATCCCAGAATATTGTGGGAACCAGGAGAGAAGTGGGCAGATTGGGAACCATGTAGATGCTTTCTTCTTTCCTTCAGGGTCAGAGTAGATCTTTTCACTTCCTGGGAGTTTGGACACAAATTCTTGTTTATCATCTGAGCCTGTGCATTTGTACTGTAACATGATTTCTAACAGTATTAATTTTAACTAAATACCATTGATGCAGTAAATACTCATTGACCAGAAGAAAACTCATTATCTTCCCATGTTCCTCTCTCTGTGTTTCCTGTCTTGGTTAGTGGCATCATTATCCTCCCACACAAGAAATTCTAAAACTTTTCCCTTGACTGCTGCTGCCAGTTGGTCATCTTTGCAAAACAGCTCTGTTCATTTCATTCTAGGTTTCCAGCCTTAGTTCCAGATCACTGCTGTGCACATCTGAATCATTGTGACAGCTTTCAGTGTGCCTGAGTCTTTGTCAGTTGCTTTCCCTGCCAGCCCATCAGCTCATTACTGCTGGCTGCTATTCTGAAATAGAAACCTCATCACATCATTCCTTTGTGCACAAGCCTCTGATAACTGTCAGTTTTTCACAGAATAAGAGCCCCCCTTCTTGGTGTGGCATTGGAAGTGCTATGTGCCGCACTGCACCAGACTGCGTGCTGTTACTCGTGCACCCTGTGCTTCTCTTCTTCCCTGCCCTGCTCCCATTGCCTGGTGTCTGGAATGCTGATAAGTAACAGAGGAGAGATTCCAGTCCATGTGCTTTCATTTATTATGCCAAATAAATAGAGGTTGTGTAGAATTAGTAGTACGGAAGTTTTTTTTTTTAAAGTTTTATCAAATCAATATGAGACTATAGGTCAAAAAATATTCTTGGATGCAGTTTCTGAAGTGTTATACTCCAAGGATTTAGAGTCTTAAGTTTTAATAGCAGTGCCAATCACCTTTTTAAAACATGTTCCGCCTGTTGAATTTCCAAGTCCTGCCTTTACCTTTTCTGTTTATTACTCTTTGCTTGTGACAGGGAGGAGGAGGAGGATGTGAACATAAGGAAGTAGATTTCAGTCAGGGACAGGGAGAGAAACGCCCTCATACAAGAGGCTATCAAACACCAGCTGTCTGTGGTTTGTTGAGGAGGAAATACTACAAAAAAAAAAAAAAAAAAGAAAGAACATTTCATTTCAAAATAAGATTCTTTGTTGCATTGACATCTTATACAATCTTTGTCAAAATGTAGAACTAACAGAGTAGGAATCTTTTTACTTGTCTTAGTAACTGTAATCTGTTTTAGTGAGGCATTTTGAGATTTACCTGCTTTTATCATTTAAAAAATTACGTTTATATAGACTTTACAGAAAGTTATCATTCAAATGTTATTTCATGTGTCTTTATTTTTAGACAAAAGAAGTTAGAAAAAGTGATGGAAGAAGAAGGCCTAAAAGATGAAGAGGTAATTAATTTAAAAATATTCCTTGAAACCCAGCATGGCAAGTCATCTTGTCCAGCAGGTTGTTAGCACCGGTGCACTGGGGAAGGGTTTTGGCTCAGAAACAGGAAATTAGGAGGCCTCACATAGCGTACTCTGGATTTAGGTATTCACTCAGAGGGAGAGGTTAATGATTAAGTACCCAGGAGAGGAAGCCTTCTCTAGGCACAGCTATAATAAATTAATTAGCTTTAAAATTCCAAGAAAAGAGTTGAAATAAAATTAAAAAAGTGAATTATAGCATTCTTATTTCATTGACAAGGCACCATGGAAGTACAGCAAACTTCTGAAATCATTATGAAGGCAAAAAGCTCTCAAATCAGCCCTTCCCACAAATGCCCACAGATGTGGTAGAAAATATAGTTAATAAGAAACTGCAAGGAACTGAAATAGCAGTGGAAATGCTCTTAAAAAGAGGAATGAGTCATAGAACCCAGGATAAGGGTGACAAATACCCAAGACTTGCAGGAATAACAGAAAGTTAATGTGTGAAATGAACCACAGTGTGTAAAAAATTCAGAGAGAAATTTAAAAACCATTCCTTTCTATAAAAATGGTTAGAGAAAAATGTTGTTGACTGCTATCCTTCCTTCCTTAGAAACGATACAATAGTGAATTATTGAGGTCGGTTCGTCAGAGTCCGCAGAGGAGGCCCCCCTCTGTTCAGCATGGTCTGGTTATCGTGTCTGAAGGCCAGGGGAGGGATGAGTGACCTCTTACTTGTCCCTCTGTGGTGCTTTGACGTATGAAAGGATTATGCTTAGCTTGGGTGGCCCTGCGTTCCAGATGGGTTAAACCACGAATACCACTGTGTTGCAGAGTTTCAGAATTTCAGCTCCTCCCCTTCCCACCTCTCTCCTTCTTTATTTAAACATTAGAAACGACTGAGGAGATCAGCACACGCTCGGAAGGAAACAGAGTTTCTTCGTTTGAAGCGAACAAGACTTGGACTGGAAGATTTTGAGTCCTTAAAAGTAATAGGCAGAGGCGCTTTTGGTGAGGTAAAAAACCCCCACATAAATAATAATAAATCAAATACAGAAATACTACAGAACTTCAGAGCTTCTAACATACCATGAGCTCATGATTGTTGCTGTAACTGAAATATTGGGGAGTGGGGGGTATCAGGCATGCCAGCCCCTCATTTTAGCTGCTCTGTCCTCCCCTCTCTCTTCCCCTCCACTGCCCAAAAGTCTGACTGGTCTCTGTTCTGCCAGAGATGATGTGGATGCTTTAAGTATTGATCTAGAGGGAGAGTTGAAAGGTAGAAAGAAATCAGTATTATTTACTGAGTGCTTTTCTCCCACAGTCATGACAATAACTCATTTTATAGATGATGAGATTAAGACTCCGAGGGGATAGATGTCACATAACCATTTCGCAGTGGTACCAGAGGTGAGGCCTAGGTCTTCCTGATCTTAAAGCTCTTGCTTTTCCCAGTTTCACACTGCCTCTCCAGGAGCAAGCTCACAGCGTATCTCCACCCTTAATTTCTTCCCGCCAGATTGGTACAGATCTAAAAAGATGTCCCCAGGAGACAGAATTTATAGAAATGAGTTATATAGGTGGGGGTGGAACGTGAAAGCATCGCAACCTTGTCCCAGCTGGTTTTGCAAGTACATCTTGCTTGTTCACAAGAGCCGTCTGTCGGGGAGGGTGTGAAGGAACCCGTGCAAGATCATCCCCATTCATGGAAAACACCCAAAGTGGGTGATCTGCTGATGCAGCAGTTTCATTTTCCTTGCATAAAAGGAGTAGCATATTATTAAAAACCAGTATCTAGGGCAAATGGGAGTCCATATTGAAAGACACAGGTGAAAGATTAATTTGATCCTTCCATGTTCAGGATCCCTGTTGGCCCCTTGAGAAGGGGAGGGTACAGGACCACCTCTAAAAGAGTTTTTTGTTGAGTGAGGAAGGGACGTGGGACTCAATCAGGGAAAATATGAAGAACAGTGCAAGGAGAGGAGAAAATATATATTTTGGGAGAGGAGGGGGAGGACGATGTGAGGGAATTGCCAAGAAGTTTTTCTTTGGGTTTCCAGACAATTTTCTTTTTATCATAAGTTATCTATTCTCTCTCTCTCAAAAAAAAAAGGAAAATAAAGAGAAAGGAAAACTGCAGAAAACCTGTTTCCTTAATTATACATTTTAGCTTTTTCCTCCCCTTCCAGTCATGTTTTCTATGCCTGAGTTATTGCTGTTGTTTTAAACATCGTTTAAACATTATAATCATTTCCTTAGGTGTTCTGAGCTGCCTGGGTGACATGTGCCATAGGTTGAGTGAGTCCTTAAGTTCAAAAGTGAGGGTTTTAAATTAATTAGATTGATTTGTTCAACTAGGGAGTCAGAGCTGTTCAGATGTGGAGACATTTGAGGATGTTTCCAGCACTGACTTCACTGTGTGTAATATATCCATCTTGGAACACTGAATTAACATTAAATATTACTTCCTATAGCACATGAAAGCATTAGCTTGGCAGTTGTGAACTTTTGACTTGGCATTTCTTTGTAACTTTTAGGTGCGGCTTGTTCAGAAGAAAGATACAGGGCATGTGTATGCGATGAAAATACTCCGTAAAGCAGATATGCTTGAAAAAGAGCAGGTAAAGCACAGCTGTAGCAGTGATTTTAATCAGCTTATGAATTTATCTCCTAAAACTGTTCTTTTTGCTTAATTGACATGTATATTCCTGTTACAGTTTTCTTTAGCTCTGTCATGTAGGAATATACATGTAATACTACTTTTCTTTCCCCAATAAAGAAGTAACATATATTTTAAAAGTATAAATAACTATAGTATATGTGCAGGTCTTTTAAAATTGAAAGCTTATTAGCGAAGCATCTGCCTTTTGTGTCTCCCGGTTGATCACCAGTTGTCCTCTTCATGAGGAGTCTTTTTTGAGGTCATACTTGCTGTGGTAGCATGTTCCTTACTGAATGCTGAGAGAGAGAAATTCCATATACACTTTGGAACTGAGGCTTAAGATTTGGAATTTGCGATTTATGATGTATCTTAACATGGTTCATTCTGTACACGCAAAGTTGAGTTTTCTGAGTAGCTCATCACTACCCAAGAAAGACCAATTTTCTTTCTGAATGAATTTGCAAAAATATAATGCAAATGGTAGAGCAATGCAAATTCTCCTTTATTGATTAAGAACACTTTCTAAATCTCAAACCTACTTTGCAAATAGATTTAGAAGATGCATTAAGTACTTTATGAAAAATAAGATTTAAAATATTGGATAGTATATTAAAAACAAGAATGCGTATTTTCTATTTATTTGGTTTAATTCAGCAGGTTGCTAAGAACAGATTCTAGTGAGTGATGCTTGCAAATATCCTGTAAGATATCAGTTGCTACAGAAGGGCCAAGAGACCCTGTGGAAGGAAGAGCTCTGGGTACAGAGCCCAGGAGCCAGGTGGAGGCTGGCTCCACATGCAGTCCTTTTGCCTCTTGAGAGGAGGCATAATCATTGAGGCATCTCTGCCTTCCATTTAAGTGCTTGCTCAAAATTTAGAATTTTAATTTTCATATGTTACCCAACAGCATTTGACTCTCAGGAATTTTGGTTGAGTATATCAAATGCTTTGGCAGTAAATTTTCAGACATTGTAGTTTATATGAATAGCAACCTTATTAAAAATATGCAACAGTCCAATTTATTATCTAAAAATTAGTGTGTGATATTGGTGTAGGCACTGAGTTTCAATTAATCTTGAAAAGGAAAACATAAAGCTGTAGGCTGTATTGATGAGTATATTTTGCTTTTCACAAGTAAATTTTATTTTTACAGAGTGTATATCCTATAGTTTTAACCAAGGCTCAAAGCATTTCTTTATCAAATAATTAGCATTCAGAATAAAACTGTAAAGAGAAGTACACATCGTGACTTTCACCTGTTAATCCTTCATAGCGTGTGCCAGTTGCCCAGCGTGCTAACATGGTAACAGAGGATGACCAAGCGTATTGTATAAAAATATTTTCTCAAATACTGTACCTTCTTCAAAATCAGCTTCTAAAATTTTTCTACATGAAAGTAAAGGAAATATCTGTTTAAATTAGGATTTTAAATGATGCATTAACTTAAATTGGTAGAGCTACCTTGCTGATGGACTCAGCTCCTTAGGTTTGATCTCAGTGTCGTTTCGCTAAAGTTTCTGGCCACAGACTCCACCTGAGTCAGTCACCCTGAGGCAGCATGCAGCAGCTTTGTGCTAGGTCAGAGCAGAAGTAGACCAGTGCAGATCCATCACTTTCGGGTGGGGCTGACAAAGGGCAGATTCAGAGCCTAGCTTTTTTGTAGGTATAGGTGCCTTATCTAGAAGAAAAAAAGAATTTTGTTTGCATTTACTAAACTGGGAATTAAAGCAACCTGCTGAGAGTTCATTTTTCTGTCCCATGGGGCAGAAATTTCTGCTACCTGAAAAATAAATTTTAAAAGACAAGAGACCAGCATTTGGCTAGCTTCTTCAGGTTTCTCTTCAAGCGCGGAAGGAAAGCCTCCAGTTGTGACGCTAGTATAGTAAGATGGGACAGAAGACTGACTTTTTATCCCTGCTTTCCTAGTGCCCAGGGTGGCAACTAGCATGTGATTCCCCACCCCGTTAAATATTTATGGGGCAGGGGAAGGGGAATTTAAGGTGTGGATTGCACCTCTGGCTCTTCCCTCCCCTACCCTAAAATCAACTGACTTCACTCCTGATCTTGAGGTTCTTAGCTGCTGTTTCAACTCCAGGAGAGAAGGGAAAGGTGTGGCCACACTGCCTGTAGCTTTCCCCTCAACAAACAGGAAATGTTGCAGTCACCATCCTGTCCTCCAAGGTGAGTGACAAGTGGCAGGTAGTGCCCTGAAGTAGGTAGAGGCCTTACCAGGAGCCAGGGGAAGCAGAGGCAGGTGAAAGCTGCCTTGTATGGTCTTCGTGTAGTAATGACTGGGTCATAGCCATGGCTGGACTTAAGCAAGTGCATTAGTGTTTTCCCAAAACTTTGCTCCTGTATTAAACCCAAGTAAAGGCAGATGCTTTACTCTGCTTCTTCATGATTTTATAGCACTGTTCCTTATCATCTTTATCTTCCATTTTTCCCACCTCATACCATAAGGAGAGATGTAAAAATGTAAATTTTCTAAAACATTGAAGCTATTTAAACATTTCCTAAAAACAATAGAAAAATTTAAAAAAAATCCTAGTGAACAATTTTAGTAGAGCTTGAAAACTTAAATGGCCCATGGGAGTTTGCATGGAAGAATGAGGCAGGTTAGGTGTAAGACAGGAGGGAGGAGTGGGGTCTGTGTCCAAATGGGAGAGAACGTGCCTGGCTTTGCTAAAGGCATTCCAATAAAACAAACATACAAAACATTGTATGAAACAAAACAACAACCGTAGGCTGTGTGCCAATGCAAGTGCCAGTTTGTGAACTCGTGTCTTTACCTCTGAACATGTTGTGGGAGGTCCAGCCCAGGAGCACATGTTAAGACAAAAACTTTTATTCAAGGATCGGACTGGATCTTAATAAATTTAGACCTGATTCAACAGTTTTGTATCTTGTGACACATAAGAGGAGAGGCAGCAGTGTTTTGAATACTACTAAATATTTAAAGTAGATAAGATGAACTTGATAATAATAAATTACTTTAATGAAGTAGTTCTATGACTTCTCCCAAACTTTTGGCATCTTGGTCTCCTTAGCTAGATATTTCAGTGAAAATAGAAAACTGGAAATGTCATAGATTTGAATCTATAACTTTTCTTAGGTGTACTTATATTTCAGTTCAGTAAGGACGGGAAACTTGAGCACATGGTCTGCACGGCTGTGCACGCAGTATGCTGTGGCATCAGAGTATTCTGGAACTGTCAGTTAGGGTGCTGTCACTGCAGATAATATTGCAGACCTGAGGCAGGGTGTGTTTAGAGAGTCTCATCTTGGGGACTTAGTTTTATTAAAAAAAAGATGATTAGAACAAAAAAATACACCAAAGAATGGTAATTTTAACCAATCAGAGGTTCAATTTATAGCACTGTTAAAGTTTCCATTTAAATTAAAGCCATTGATTTTGTCTTTTTTTAAGCCTTTCATCACTCAAGATTTCATTACTGAACATCTCCAAGTCAAATGTTGTCAATTTTGAGTTAGTAGGTTTGCCTAAGCATAAATTAAATCTTTTGCATCATCACAATACTCAAAACAGTATTTAAATTGTTTAAACAAATATACAGTCTAATAAAGCAGAGCAAGGCTTGTCATTAATCAAATGCGTATACCTCCAGGTTGGCCACATTCGTGCGGAGCGCGACATTCTAGTGGAGGCAGACAGTTTGTGGGTTGTGAAAATGTTCTATAGTTTTCAGGATAAGCTAAACCTCTACCTAATCATGGAGTTCCTGCCTGGAGGTAATTACTTGACGATGAAAGGTCATTTTTCCTTTTTGTTTTGTGGTTTTTCTCTCACATCAATTAACCCTCCTTTCTAACTTTTAATTGTGCTTACAAAGTTGCTTTCTGCATCTTTTTTAGGTCTGTAAAGGAGGTCAGTAACCTGTTTGTGCTGGGGTGCCTTTCTACAATTTTAGTGCCATAAAAGTAACATTCTCATTCATTCTCATGATTTCAGATGGATATTTCTTTCTTTCTTTCTTTTTCTTTTTCAATACGTAGGAATAAACTAGGGACTTTGCCTGCTCTCCTGTCAGTGGGAATACGTGTAATCAGTTATCCCAGTGACAGAATTGAAGCTGTAATATTCTTTGCTTCAACTCTTCTGTTTCTTTTTCTATAATTTATATTAATAAGGAGTGGATTTCTCATTACCTATATTAGTAGCCAGAATCAGTTTCTCATTTCTGAGATGGCAAGTTTTATGTAACTCAGCATGTGCATCGTCTAAGACAGCTCCAAAGTAAACCCAGCACAGAACATGCCATCTGTCCTGGGGAACACATTCTGCTTCCCAGTGAGCAGATGAACTGTCAGCAAACTGGTGGGGAAAAAAAGAAAACTTTTTCTTTTTTGCTTCTGTGGCAAAGCCAACATAATTGTGGTGTAATATTTGATCTTGTGACAATCTTTAGTTTAGATGTAGGGTCACCAATAATTTTTTATTAACAACTGATGAAGGCTAGAAAAGAATCTGACAGGATGAGGAGAAACTTTTTAACATTTAGATGCCAGTTCTTAAATAGGAGTAAGAACCAGCTCAGTCACCAGCCAGCCAGTTGACGTGTGTCTCCTCAAGCCTTACCCGCACCATCTTCCATGGCTTCTCACGTCTCCTGGACCCTCCGTTTGCGCTTGGTGGAGCTGGCCTGCAGAGCCATAGACCGTCTGGCCTGAGCTCTGATCATCTGGGCAGGCGCACACAGGTGAGGCCACTGGCTGCTCTCCTGGGCCACCGCGCTAACCAAGGCCACACAGATACTAGAGCTGGCTGAGTGCACCGCCCCCATCTCTGGTGTGCCTTCAGATTGAATGTGTGGCTGCCAGGAGTGATTAGGGAATTATATTTTTCAAGTCTTAGGTCAAAAAAGGGAGCATTTTAATAAATGGCTTAGTTTTTGCCTGAGGGTAAAATACCCATTTACCTCTAAGAATGCAAAACTTCCCCCAGACTTACAAATGAAATGAAATTCGAAAAGCATGATACTCTGTTAAAATCAGAGGTGTCTTTCTCTTTTCCCCGTTTACTAACATAAATGGCTTTATATGTGATCTAAACTGAATCTTTCCTATTTCTTTTAGCTTTAAACTACTTATACATATTTGCTTTGCTTTTGTCTAACTATTAAAATCAGAATCTTTTTTTCACCATTTTACTTTGCTGGTATTAAGCAGAAATAATTTAATTTTGATTTTGCAGAAAACTAAGGAAGTTACCTTTTAACTGCTAAAATACTGATACTGTTTTGTAAAAGTTGCATAAAGCATTTTGGTGTATATTTAAGTACCTATAGTAAAACACTGGAGGAGGAGACCCACTGATCTTGGGAGGTGTTCACTGTGCATTTTTGGAAGGCAGCTGTTACACATCCTAGTGTGTAGCATTTTCAGTTCATATTTAGCTTTTGTTGACTAATACTTTGCTACCTAAATCCTACCTTTTTATTTGTTTATGTTCTAATGTTTTGTGAATAGAAATTGGAGAGCTTGTTTTCAGCCTCCCCAAATTTTTACATTTTTGTTGTTTGGCATTTCTGCTTCTCTCTCTAATAACGGCAGTACAGCCTCTGTGGAAACGCCATTTGAAGACAAGAGACAGTTCGCAGATGTTTGTGCAGAGTGAAAAGTAAAGTAGCTTTATCTCCCAGCTCAAAACGTTATCTTAAGCAAATTTACTTCTTTCTTTTCCCCTAAAATGAGAGAAATTTCCTTTCTCCAAAGTGAAATGGAAATCACAGCTAAATGGTCAGGATCAATTAGCTTAGGTGAAAGTGTTTGGCTCTCCGTGGCTGTGAATTTTACCTTTTAAGTGTTAGAAGCTAGTTACCGTTTCTGCCCATAGTGGGTCAGTCTCTGGAACACCGCAGAGGCCCGTTTAGCGCTGCCTCACCTTGCAGATAGGAAAGATGTATCTGGAGACTGGCACTTATTCATGCGTTGGTTTGTGTGCGTGTACTTTGTATCTTGTTTTCAGGGGACATGATGACCCTGTTGATGAAAAAAGATACCCTGACAGAAGAGGAGACTCAGTTTTATATAGCAGAAACAGTGTTAGCCATAGACTCCATTCACCAACTTGGATTCATCCACAGAGACATCAAACCAGACAACCTTCTCCTGGACAGCAAGGTACCGTGGGGAGTAGCAGCCTGACCGTGTGTCTTCACCTGTCTGAGCAGCCTCTGGTTTAACACCACATGGCTTGTAGTCATCACAGCCGGGGTGCTGTGAGCTACCTGGTGTATTTCTCTCTTTTTTTTTATAGGTAATTTTGCTGTTACTTCTTTTCTCAGGAAGGCTTATAGTTTTATAATTTGACTGAACATTCCTCTTAAAAATAAAGGACGTTTTGGAAATGATTAAGAATAAAATTGATTTAGGTTATTTTATAATAAAGCCAAAGATAGTCATCTTCTCTTAGCATGTAATTACACTAGTGCATCACCTGTCAAGAGCCCCTCTGTTGGGCAGCCTCGTGCGTTGAGGAGCCCAGCCAAGATCCGGGAAGTAAGGCAGCAGCAGCAACAATCTGTCGCAGAGTTTACTTCCAAATCCTGTGCCCTCTGCTTAGAGAAGAGCCCTGCACAGCCTCTGTAATGGCCTCTTTATCTTTACCTTTAGACATGCCAGTGAGCTCTGGTGCTTGGTTCTTAAACTCACAGCAGATCTTGTGCTGCTGGATAGTTGGCTGCTCCTTGGCAGCTTCTCCACCACCTGGGCCGCACTTAGCTATGAAGTGAATATATTGATCCAGAGATGCTCCAGAGTCCCTTCCAGCTCTAAAGTCTAGATTGTTGTGTTCTGTTATGTAGAATTGCTGTCTAGACTGAATTTTTTTTTAAGTAGAAAAGTAAATTTAATTCCTTGGGTACTTTTCTTTCTTACTGTCTTTTGATAACAGTCTTTGAAAAAGTTGAAGTTTGGTCTACTTTCTTTGAAACCTTTATTTTTCTGTTTCAGGAGGGCAGATTTGTCAGGTATTTCTTCTAGTTAACAGCTTTTTTCTTCATTATAAGAATAATACATATACATAGTGGAAAATTTGAACAATACCGAGAGTTATAACAAAGAAAAATAACTATAATCTCATCAAAGATAACCACTATTTTAGTATAATAGCTTCAGTATCTTTTCTGTTTGTGTCAATAATTTATGTATAGTTAGCATCCTAAAAGTAAATAGCTTGGTATTCTGCTTTTAAAATGTTAATATATATGAGATTATTTTTGTATGTCACAAGGTTCAGATATATTTTTAATGAAGCAGAAGCCCTACATTGTGTGGTCTTGGGTTCAGATGCTCTGGCCCTGTACCCCGGGTGCCTTAGTGCTGGCTTAGTTGTAGCTTGTAGTCTGTGTTCAAGTCCAGCCAACGTACTGAAGGCCAAGAGCTGGGGGCCAGTCTAGAGGAGGAGGATTGGGGAACCCTGTTTGGTGCAGACATACTCTCTCAGTATGCTTGCCCAGACCTGTAGAAGTGAGCTCACTTACGTGTTTAGTCGTGCATATTATAGAAGTAAAAATGTGGAAGTTTTGTGTCCCTGCTGTATACTCAGAGAGCTACAGAATTCCCTGAAAATCTGGTTTTAAATAGCATTTGCTCCAGGCACTGCTTTTTAAGACGCCTTTTTCCCTTAGAGGTGTCCAGGTAAAACATGTAATTATAAGAACTGTAAGACACTTCTCTGGCTTGTGGAACAAGTTATTTGCAAATCTGGAAGGAAGATACCAGGTTAGCAGGCTCAAAGCTGTCTTTGATAGTTTACCTTTTGTGTGTGTGCATGTGTGTGTTTGTACACACACACATATACACACATAGCCAAACCTAATGGGATTTAAAAAACAAAACAAAACCAAACCTGATCCAACGCAAAGCTTCTATAGCCTTGTTCCCTGGGAAGTTTGCATGTTAAGGCATGAAGAAAGGTGGTATCATGGAAAGACCACAGCTGTTGAAGTCACTGGCTCAAACCCTGGCCACACCACTTCTAATTGTGTGACCTTGAGCAGTATAGATCCCTGAGCATTAGGATTTCCTACCCTGTTTTTAGTTTTACCTCCTTATCTACTTAGCATTTTGGTTAGTGAACATTTGGTCCTGTCCAAAATGTCTGTAAGACATTTGGTCCATAAGTTATTTGGTTCACACTGAAAAAGATCTTTGAAATTTGGTCCTATCCAATTTCACCACCCCAAGAGCACCTTCCTCTTCTTAAGGTCTGATAGTGCCAAGCACCAGGTTGGAAGCCTTATGTGCATTAATTCTCATCATTCCTGCCAAGAAGATACCATGACTCCCATTTTCCAGATAAGATCAGGAGGTTGGAGATGGTAAGTGGTCCTGGTCAGGAGGAAAAAGCATTGATTTCTGGCTTTGGTTCTGCTGTTTCATCAACAAGTCACTGAATGACAGTGAAGTGTGGCTTAAGAATTTTATAAATGAGACAACACATTTAAAGTATGCGTGGCTTATAGGAGGTGTGAGTTTTCCTTAAAGAGAGTGATAAAGTCAGAGACTTTTGATTGGAATACAGTATGGCAACTTTTATCAAGAACTGTGAGGTAAAGTTTATTCCCTTTGTCTTTGGAATAGTTTACTCCTTGGAATTTATCCTAATGAAATAATTCATGAGGAGAAGAAGCTATATGAACAAAGGTTTGTTTATTTAGTCATCATTTAACAGCCATTAATGTTGAGCCCATCCTCTGTACCATGCGTGGTTAGGGTTGGGAACGCAGGCCCTCTCTGGCACAGGGGTGCTTGCTGTAATCCACAGTACTCGAGAGTAAGGAGTTGGAAATGGAGTGAACATCCAGTATCAGGGGGACAAGCAGACGAGGAGGTACTAAGTCATTTGAATATTATGTAGACATTAAAAATGATGATTTTGAAGAAACAGAATATTTGATTTAGTTTAAGAAGTAAAATTAGGTGCTATGGATATTGTATGCCAGCTATATTTCAATGAAAAAAAGGGAAAAAATTAGATGCTATGGAGGATTCAACTAGTTTAAAAGTTTATATTTGGACAAAAACAAAGATAATATGCAAAAATGAAAATACTTCTATTTGTATAATAGGGTTTGGGGTGATCTTTAAAAAATTTATTTGCTGTTCTGTTTTTCCCTGTAACAAAAGAAAAAGCAGTGGAGCTGTACTGGGTACTGCAAGGGGCTGGAGAAGATCATGTTTTGTTTGTTCCACATCCATGAACGTTCATCCATCCATTACCTTGTTTCTTCTTCCCCACAGGGTCACGTGAAACTTTCTGACTTTGGCCTTTGCACAGGACTGAAGAAAGCACATAGGACAGAATTTTATAGGAATCTGAGCCACAGCCTCCCCAGTGATTTCAGTAAGTGTTAACAGAGATTTAGCCTTTTTTTAATCCCTTAACTGGGCCTCGAAGAGCTATTCCTCTGGTAACCAAAATATGCACGATGGATTGGGAGATTCTCACAGTTTGAGTCTTTAGAGAATAGAAATACTCCATTCCCAGGTTTGCCTGTGATTTGTACTGTGTGGTGAGGCCAGATGAGGGCTACCGGATGTGTTAAGGCTGATGTCCAAAAGAGCTTGCTTTGGAGCTCTGCTGAGAAGGTCACAGGGCATGAGGAGAAAGTCCTGGGAACAACTCCAGGTTTGATTTATCCCCGGTGCTTCTTTCTGTCCTAGCACAAGGAAGTTTGTAAGTTACTTTCACTCCAACACTACCAAACCATTGAAACTATGTAGTAAAATTCCAATTCATCCTTACAAGCTTATACCAAATAGTGTATTATATATTCAGAAGTCTCTGATTATGTAAGAGTTGCTACTCTTGGAAATGATAGTAATTTGGGGAAGTTGTGAATGTTTTAGATCCACTTTGGGACCTTTGCTTCTGATGAGACTGAATTCCCTGTGATTCTGATTAAATTCCCCATAATTCTGTTTTAAGGCCTGTCCGTGTCCTCTGGCCACATAATCCACAGGGAAGTGCTGCTTCCAACTCTCATTGTGTAGATTCTTTGAGTTAATGCTTCGGAGCCTGTGATTTGGGCTTGTGGACCTGCTGGGAAGTGTGCCATCCAGAGTTATTGATGTTGGGCAGAAAAGCAAGACTTGAGGGTCTCATGTGGCTTGAACCAGAGCCTAGAAAAGTAGTAAACATTCCTATCTGAACTTTGATTAGAACTTGTTTTCTCTACTTTTAGCTTTTCAGAATATGAATTCCAAAAGGAAAGCAGAAACCTGGAAAAGAAATAGACGTCAACTAGTAAGTAATATTTGTGGCTTCTTAAATGCTGCAAACCAAGTATGAGTAAGTTTAAAAATATGCATGTAACTTTGCATTTGATAAATGCATGTTGTCTGTTGCTTGATATAAATGACCTTAATAGAGCACTGTCATTGTGCTGGTAGCACCAGAGTAATCTCCTGAAGGAGGGCAGATAATGTGAGGTGGTTTTTGTTGTGACATTCTCAGTGGATGACGTCACTCAGGCCTTTTACAGGTGACAACCCTTTCCCTTCCTGTTCTGCCTTTTCCCAATTTTCATGGTAAATGGTGGTAAATGGGTTATAGTTAAGCTGGAGTTCTCTTAAAATAAAACTAAGTACAAATACCTACCCAGCACTTTGAGGCAGTGGTTCTCAAACTTATAAAAGTTTGATTCACTTAGTCGAGACTCCTTAATTCACCTGCCCCACCCTTTCCTATTTATGGTGGAAAAAAGAACTTGGTGATTAAAAACTGGAGAGAAATTTAAGGGACATGCTTACTTTACTAATAAATTTTATACACATAAAATTATGCCTCACAACTTAAAAATAACGTTATTGTATTTTCCTTGATAGTATGTTGGAATTTATTTAAATAGTACAGATTCACCAGTGAAATACTGCTGCCCAGGCAGACTTCTGTTCTGGAAGGCACATGGCCTGGTGTCTAGTTACTGGAAAATTTCTGACCAGAGATAATAGAAATGTGTATTGTCGTATGCTCAGACTTTGCTAGAAACCCATAGCAATTGGAAAGTGGTAATGGTAAATGAACAGTTGGTCTTCAGAAAGCAAGAAGAGCAGCAAGGGATGGAAACCTGACTGACTCAGAATGATGATCATGTGTATTATGCAGAAATGGTGGCACTTCTGCTTGTCGGTGTATACGTTTGTAACTTGGCAGATTTGCCAAGTATTGTTTTGGCCAGACTTCTTAGTAAAATACTGAATTAGAGTTCTCTGTGATATCTTTAATAGCTCACTAAGTAGATTGCTGGTAAATAACTGTTAGTCATATGGGAAAATGGAAGCCTGTAGAATTAAGAAAGAATCAAAGGAAAGGCTTGCATTTTTAAAATTTATTTGAGGCCCATCAGTGGGCCTCAAGACCCGCTTTGAATATTACGATTTTTATGTTAAACCTGGGCACTGGGAGAGGCAGTAACTTAAACCACACACTTTTGGAGATGTAGTAACTGAAATTAATCTTTGATGTCTTTTTCTAACGTTAACTTAGGGATACTTAGGTTTGGTATAGCTAGTCATGTCATAGTCGTCTTAGGAACTGTGATACTCTTTAAATGTCTAAATTTTGTATATGGTTGAAACACTTTACATAGCTTGTTGTATTCCTGACATAGGGAATGTCAGGAATGACTTTGGTCAGATGCTTCTATTATGTCTCTCCATAGGGCAGTAGATCTTAACCTTGGCTGCACACCAGAATCACCTAGGGAACCTCAGGACACACTGATGTCTGGGTCCCAATCCCATAGATTCTGGTGCAGTTGGTGTGGGGTATATAGTCTGGGTATCTGATTTTTAAAAGGATGCTGGGTGATTCTACTGTGCAGTGAAAGTTGAGACCCTCTACTGAAGGGACTGTTTCTTCAACAGTAGCTCCTGCATTATTGGGAAACTGATATTTATCTGTATTTTGGAAGGTAACAAAAGGTAAGGACATTTCTGTGATTTAAAAAAAAAATTTTTTTAAAGCAGGCCAGGATTTAACCTTTGACCATTTTTATTTTTGGGGTAATTAAGTTTACATACTTTAAATTATTCTTATACTCTGAGAAGCTTTATGCTTTTTGACACACACACCACAGGGTCATGTCAGACTTACTAGGAACCACTTACAAGTCTGTGAGGGAGATTTCACAGTTCCCATATTCGGAGTTAAATGTCCTTTAATATTTAAAATGTTATTTTAAGTCTGAATAAAACTTAGGTTCTAATGCTGTGATTAAGCTTCTTGCCTTTTTATTCTGTCTACAGTAGAGATGGAAAAGTATTAAGGTCACTCATAATACCTCTTTTGATAACTTGAAGAAAATAAAGCTACCTTTCAGTCTTCAAAAGGGCAGTTAACTGTGCTTTTGACCTTTCGTAAGTAATCCCATTGAGCT